AGCCTTTGTAACACAATCATCTGCTGTGGATAAACTAGTCAATACTTTGAGCTCAGATCATTTGACCACATCTGACCGACACTTTTTAAAGCCTGATGGAAAACAGTATTTAGGTATGGACCACTCTGTATCCTGGATTGAGGCCACAAAGGGAGTGTTGAGAAGTGCATTACCTTCAGTGTCATAGATGTTGTGGAGGATTTTCTCAGTGTCCAGACGATCCTCCAGGTAAAAATCGTAGATTTTGATGTTGAGGTCAGTCATCAGATGATAGACTCCCTCCATAGTGAAGAAGCAGTTCCGCTCCTCCTTGTCGTCCTCGAACACGAGCAGTGCGCTCCTCCAGGTGAAGTGCTCGAACATCGCGGTGAAGGTCTCTGCCATTTTCAAGTAGGACGGGGCGATGCGGGTCAGGTGGGAGTATTCGCTCTTCTTGTTGCTGAAGCCGGTGGCCAGGGCACCTGCTGAGATCACCGGGATGTTCCAGTGCGATGCCAGCCTCACCACCGCTGCAGCCTCATACTCACACACCGGACCCAGGATCAGATCCGGCTTCTGCCCACACGACCGTTCCACCAACAGTAACATGGCATCATTGGCACAGTCGGAGTTCTCAAAGTGGATGTTGAAGTGAAAGCCGGAGAACTGTCCGTCTGTCTGGAGCCGTCGTTGTGCGTAAAGGATCGCCGGAGCGACGCGTGCGTGTGAAAAAATGTAGGAGTTATTTCGTGGCAAAAAGACCAAAACATTTATGTCCTCGGTGATGGTGTTTGTCTCAACTGGGCTCAGGACCATCAACAAGTACACACACAGTGTGGTGAACTGTGGCATGATGCGACTTTCCAAGTCCCACTAGAGTGAAGTACGAAAGTGTTGGAGAGATGTTCTTCAGATGTTTCTTTCCACAAGTTGGCTCCACTTGGCAGAGCAGCTGCACACACAAAGCCCACCGCCGCCTCTAAATGCCTTAATAACTATATTTGTCTGTTAAAGTAGCGAATCTGCCTGAATGTGCGTGTTTTATTCAGCATGGAGAATCCCCCCGAAGCCTCCTGAACCTGCTCAAAATATTCTCCCCACAGTTCCTGCCAGGCACCGAGATCCTTCCAGCTCCGCCAGCAGCCACCACACACGCTGGCTCCGGCCTGGAGTTTTGAAGCATCTTCTCAGGATTATTCCTGCGTCATCGGAGCGCTGCCCACCTCCTTCTTAAAGCTACACTGCTGCCGAGCTCACAATGAGCCACTTCAACCCAGCTCCGGTCAGTGCGCAAGTTTAATGGGAATTAAACCCCTGGAAGCCTGAAACAACTCACAACATACACGACTGTGAGATGTATGTATTCATCTGTGCAGAGGATGGAAAATGAGAAAATACTAATGTGTCAAACATGAAAAAGATTATGGGTTTCATCTGTAATGTAACATTACTGACAGACTGCTCACAATCACTGACTGCAAGTTCCATTTTCCATTTATAAGGTAACTGCTGGGACACTTCGAAAACGACATTTTGGTTGTGGAGTTAAGAATGCTGCGTACTCATACTTGTACTCATAACGTAGTAACAGCAAGTGTTGTTTAATGCTAGAGGAGCAGCTGGTGTACCTCTCATGTTGTTGTATGAGGAGGTAGCCTCAGTCTGAGCCCAGGACAGGGATGGAGGATACTAGTAGTTGTAGTAATTAGGTCATTAATTAATTTTTTTTTTAAGCAAGCATCCTCTGTTCTGTCCACCAGCACACTCATTATGCTCCATTATTTACCGACTACTGTGAATACACTGGTTCTACCCAGCCTGTACGAGATGTATCAGCCACACTCATCAACAGATGATTGTTTGAGGGGACTATTTGAGTGTGAGCATTTGATGCTGATGATTTTTATGATATCACTTAATGCTTAATGACAGAACTGTGTTTGATAAACTGGGTCAGTTCACTGTGGCTCCACTTTCCCCTGCTTCCCTCTGTTCAAGCTGAGATGTTTCGTCATCATTAAACATTTCATCAAGATTTCATCATAGAAGTGTGGATAAGAAGTGGACTAAAACAATACATAATTTAACATATTAATAAATACCATGCATATAAAACAGTTATTGTTATTCAAAAAGAGGAGGCTTGTTGCTCACCTCAGCGTCATGTCAACAGTGACTGTTGAGCCTTTTCCTCTGCAGGAGGAAGTGTGAGAAACATTCTTTGTGTCTGCTTCATCACCCACAGGTGACTGAGGTCTTCTAGTATATACCTACATTTAAGTGTTGATCTCCTCTAGATGTTTCTGGTCGTAACTATAGATACAATACAATTTGTAAGATGTTAGACTGTTTGTAACATGGTCACCTTCTCCTTCACTACATTATGTTCAGTGATAACTTTTTTGTTTGTTGCCCATTTGTTTGAGGGTGTAAGGAGAACCACTGTGAGATTTGAACCAGTTCAACCACAATGAAATCACAGACAGGAAGTATTGTTGTGGATATCACATACAGTCTGTGGTTTTGTTTGATGGTTAAAGAAGTAGTGGGCAAAGTTTTGCTTACAGAGACAGAAATACAACAGTGGTAAATTACCTTAACTGGGGCTGCACTCCTTCATTTTTTTAGATGAACAATGAACCAAATGACGTTGTGTAAATCCACTAGTGACAACAGTCCACAGATAATCAACACCAGTGCTCTTCCTCTTAACTATAACTCATTGTGTCAGTTTCTCTCTCATCAACTTTGTTTCCAGCAGCAGACAGCAGTGGAAGCCAGTGTGCTCAGTGTGTTCGCCATAACAACAGTTTGTTATGCTGCCCCTAAGTGGCTAAACGATAAACGCAGCTTTAGTTAAAAGGGATTTCAGCAGATTATACTTTAGAGAAGCTAATTTTAAGTATTTTGTAAATTTTTGTGAATAAGTCCAATCTATCGTTCGCTTCGTGTGAATCTTTAAAGTTTAATAAATGTAGTGAATATAAAATCCAATATTTCGCTATTAATTTGTACAGGAGTAGATGTGTAAAGTAGACTAAAATGAAAATACTCAAGAATAATAAGAAATGAACTTACTTTACATTACTTGAGCAAATACTTCAAATCTCCTTCCACCTTTGGTCTCTTTGTATGTGTTGAACGAACTACTTGTTTTGACACTGATGTCATAAAGAGTTGTATTATAAGCTTGTGTATTGCACAGAGATTCATTTTACAGAGTGACTGACTTCTGTGCAGCTCCAGAATGTTAAAAAATCATCAACCTCAAATCACATCCTCAATTAGCAGCCTTGCACTTATCGTGGCACATGAACATGTCACTAATGACTCACCTAGCTAGTCTCTCAGAAGACACATTTTGTTTGCTGGCAAGTGGAGTGGAATTTGCTGACGTACATGCCAATGTTTTCCACAGCTCTCGTTACACTTAAAATCATTAAATCATTACATGAAAAGGTAAGGTATTATACTGGATGTGAAGCACAATTCTGTGCTGTTTTTATCTGAAATGTCCAAATTACACCAGGAGGCACAACATGGAGATATTTTGCAATTATGTTCATTAAAGTGAAATCAGCACCTTGTCATGTAATGACACATTTGAGCAGTGGAAGTTCATCTGTGCAGACTGTCCAGACTTATAAAAAGTATGGAGTATCATTTTAATCCAGCTAGAGACCTGTAGCTGAGACCTGTTACTGTACTTGTTGTTTTCCTCCCATGTTTTTGCAAAAAGGCTCAAAATCAACCACTTAATTACCCATGTATAATTGGACGGTTAGCTGTTATTTACAGAACTGCATCATCACCAAGATTAGAACATGGCTGTTAAAATTCCTGAACAGTATATTGTTTCCGTCTGACAGCAAAGACATTTGGCAGGAAAAGTTTAATGAATTTAAAACCAAGGGATAAAACCAAACAGGGTCTGTAAAATGTTTGTCATGCACATAAAATGTAAAATTAATTCATTTAAAG